CCATTTAAGTTTAGGATGTAATAGTTATTTTTAATGAACGTCCAATTATTTTTCACGATCTTTTTGTTTCTCTTCTTCAGTTGGAATGTAGGTAAATGATTTGCTGATTTATTGCTTCTCCATATATTTATATATATTATTATTAAATAATAATTTTAAATACAGATTAACAATATACATTAAAAAAGAAGCAATTTAGCAAAGCATAAAAAATGCAAATATAAGATATTTATATTGATATTTTGAAAAACAATTCAAGCATAATAATTTAAACTACTTTTCTTTTTAGCTTGTACAACAGCAATGCCTTCCACAAAATCTTCATGAATTAAGAATGTTCCACCTCTATTCAATGCTATCATACCAGCTTCAACACTATTATATAATATATTAAATTTATACCAGACAGCCTTCAATTAAGCACCATTAAATTCATCAGTACTTCTAGCAATTTCTATATAATTAACAGTTTCTTTAGCAACAGACATCTTTCTAGAATGAATCTTTAAAATTTATGCTCTAGCTTCTTCATTTGGCAATGGAAATTCAATCTTTCTATCCAATCTACCTGATCTTAATAAGGCTGGATCTAAAATATCAGGTCTATTAGTAGCAGCAATTACCTATTAAGATTATAATTAAATATTACTTTAATTCTATCATCAGGACTAAAACCATCAAGTTGATTCAATAATTCAAGCATAGTTCTTTAAACTTCTCTATCACCATTCTTATCACTATCATATCTTTTAGTTCCTATAGCATCTAATTCATCAATAAAAATAATGGCAGGTGCTTTTTCTTAAGCCAATTAAAATGCATCTCTAACCATTTTAGCTCCATCTCCAATAAACATTTATACTAATTAAGGTCCAGCCAATTTTAAGAATGTAGCCTTTGTTTAAGCAGCACATGCTCTAGCCATCATAGTTTTACCTGTTCCTGGTGGTCCAAACATAAGTACTCCTTTTGGTGGTCTATTTGATTTGATATATCTAATATAAATACCTAATTCCTATATTCTCAAATTTCTCCTTATGTACAATAGGTAAAACAATAGCTTCTCTTAATTCTTCAATTTATTTATCTAATCCTCCAATATCTGTATAATCTTCTTATGGTTTTTCATCTACTTCCATAGTCTTAACTATAATTTTAAATGTATTGAATTACCTCTTGCATCATATTCAGTTGGTAATTTTTCATATAACATATAACCATCTTTATTGACACCTATCAATTCTGCGGGTTTTAATTATGAAGCATTCAATAAGCCAGTTACTGGTAAAAAGATTGTTTATCTAGTTGTTGTCTTGATTACTACACCTTTTCCAGAGATTGTAGCATAACCATCAGTCACAGATTGATCTTGTTAATCTTTATCTTCTGCCTCTATGTCCAAGATTTCTACAATATTTGATACCAAATATGGAAGGGTTGTCATGATACCACTTGAAATAATAACAATTTAATACACTCTTTTCTTTGTACTTTCTAATTAATCTTCATATTGTTTTTTTTGATTCACTTCTCTTGAACAATGATTTCTTAATTCATGTGCTCTTTTTTATAGTTTATTAATTTCCTCTTATAATTATGCATTTGATAATTATGCTGCTTAAGCTTAATAATCAGCCTCTGTTTTTGGTGTAGGTTTCTCTGTTTACATTTTAATTTAAATAATTAGAATACTGATGTATTTTAGAATTTGCAAAAGAATCCATTTTTAATATATAATAAATATAAACATCATTAATGTTTCTACTTTATCTCATATTTTTCATAATATTATTCAATTATCTATTTTATTAACTTAAATATAATTACTTTAAAATATTATTTGTTTTCATTATTCAATATTTTTTATTTTGATTACATTTATATTTCTTCTCTCTTTGCTTTCTCTACTAAATCCATATTAGGATGAATATGAATATAATCATGAATATTTATTTGAGTATCTTTTGGTTATTCTAAAAATTATGTCAATCTAAATGAATTAATTCTCCTTAAACTCTATTTAAAGTTCAAATAATTTTCAAAAGAAATATTTTTTGGAATCTTAATATCTTAGAGTTAACGATCTATAATACTACTTTATTTTTTAGATATATAAGATAATTATTATTATTATTATTATTATTATTGAATTTCTTCTTGTAATGGAAATTATAAATTTAAAAATGAAACCTTTTTATTTTACTTACTTAACATAGAATGTTTTGGAGATTATAACATTTTAATTGGACTATGAATATCCTCTTTTGAATTATCATATTAATTTAATAAATTTTTTGGATTTATTTCTGATAATTTTAAGTTATTTGAATCTTATTAATCTTTATTTTTTTCACCAAAACTGATTCTTGGAAGAGTAGATATAGATTCAACATCAATTATACTATTTATTTCTTCTAATTCCATATCTTTTTTCTCTTTAAATGGAAATTTTAAATCTGAATTACTTTTTAAAGATCTTAAATTATTAATATGTTCCTTTTCAATTTTTAAGAAATTATTAATCAATCTTCTACTCATTTCTAAAAATCCAAAACATAATACAAACATTTCATTCTTAATTCCTATTATCATATACATATCAGGTGATATTGTTAATACCCATGCAATTCTTAAAAAGAAATTCAATACACCCAAAGTATAATAAATGTAAGGACTATTATAACCTAAATCATTTCTTAAAAATTTATGTTTAGTTCCTTTCTCAAAAAACATAAAATCTTTTTTTAAATCCCAATAATATTCAAAGCAAGAACAAAAACATGCCACTGCTATCCAGTAATATTTCCAACTTATATCTAATCTAGTCAAATATGCTAATATTCCCACTGACATCGCAATAGTAGTTTTAATAAAATTATACATTTCATCTGTAAAAAAGAATTTCCCCTTGTCTCTAGCTCTAGTTAAGTATTGAATACATTTTAAGAAATAAGGTATTATACTAGCTTAAGCTGCTGTAAACCTTCTTTAAAAATTACATTCTCCATTATGTTCATTACCCAAAAATATCTATTTCATAATAGATATTTACAAAATGATGATAATAACAGATAGTATAATCAAAATCTCTCATTGATGTAATCATAGATGTAAATTAGTCTGTAAAGAATGTATATCTAGATTCATACTTTATAAAATGACCCCATAATGCACCATAAAACATCTTATACATCCATCTCTTACCTTAAGGATTAAAGTATTTAGTTGTTGGATAGAATACGTAGATAATTGATATAACCCAACATATTATTGGTAGATATCTTATATCAAATAATTAGACAGCTCTTGATAAATCACCTAAAGAGTCTTCTACTGCTATACAATACCATAAGAAAGTAATTAAAAATATAGCAGTAAATATACTAACTCTTTATAATAATTCTTAAACTGTAGAGAAATGATGATTGAAACCTAAATAGATTTTATAATTGATATTAAAATAATTCCAACCTGCTAGATCTAAAGTTATAAACCAATAATAAATTATAAATAATGCCATGCCTCTAAAACATGGAAATACTTTATTGAAAACCTTATCTGAATTAGGATCTAAAAGACCATCAAATCGCATTCCCAATATAATTAGAATAATCATAATAGCTGCTCCTGCAAAGAATCCAAAATAAAAGACTGTTTTCAAATTTATTAATCCTTTTTCACTGTATTTTCTAATAAGTTCTCTACATTCACTAGGACTAATTTAGTATAAAAAGAAAGCACATACTCATCAGCATAAAAATGATTAATCATAAGAGATTCTGTATTTTATTTCAAAATATTAATTTTAGTTTCATATTTCTTAAGTCTCTTTTATAATTGTTAAACATTGCCAAAATATTGAATTTCAATTTCCTTATTTCTAATCCCTTTAAGTTCTTACTTTTTATATTTCTTAAGAATCTTATGAATTCCTTCTGAATTCAAAATAATATATGATTACAGTTATTAACACTCATTATAAAATTTAAAACAAGTTTCTAAAAGTTCTTCTTTATATTTCAAATATACTGTTATTTCAATGGCATCTTCTCTTTATTATTCTTTTATATTCTAACCCATATTCCATGTTACTATTATCTATTCTTTATACGTATAATATGCCATTTACTCCATTATTTTGATTTATTTGTCTAATTTCTCAAAACATATTAGTAATTCTCTATACTTCCACTCTGTAAAACTATAAATTTATTCTGTTTCATTGTCAAAAACAATCATAAAATTGTTACGATCTTACTCCAACTTTTCAAATAGTTATTTATTTGCAACTACATCATATTTAAATTTTTTATAGACATCTTTGGGTTTAAGTTTTTTTACTTTTCTCAACAACTACTTCAACTTTGTGACAACAGCTAAATGGGTCTTTAGATATTTGAAGTTGATATATAATTTAATCCATTCAGGAATTAGATTTTTCAGTAAGTATTAGGTATATTTCATTTTATATTAATATGCTTACATTTGAATAATGGGTCACTAAAATACTTGGATCATTTTCTATATTATTATCAATTATTGATAATATATTAAGTGATCTATTAATTTAAAGACTTAATTGAATTATGAAGTCTCCAAAAACAGTTGAAATATTATAGTAAACTATGATGCTTATACTTATAATTCATCTCTATCTTTAAAGTTATGAATTTCTGTAAAAAACAAAGCTATACAAATCTAAGATAATCATGGCTATCAATAGAGTTTAGTGTAATCAATTTATAAAACTTTGGAGATCAAAAATAAGAACACCTAAAAATAAATAAACTAAAATAAATTAATTTAAATAATTGCAATATTTATTAGGTTGCTAAAGCTAGTGATTGATCTTAATATTTTTTTATTATGTTTCAATATATATCTGAATATTTAAAGAATATAATTTACTAAAAATTCATTTAAATTATTTTATAATTGATTTAAAATACAATGATAATTGAAGTTATAATCAAAATTATATACAAATATTAAGATTTTAATCAGAAAATACTGATTAAATTAGTTGTAACTTAGTTCATTTTCTTTTTATTGGAATCTTTCCAATTTTCTTTAGATAAGAAATCTTTTAATTGTTATTCATTGTAAGTACCAAAAATCATTTCATCTGACTTGATTTGAGTATTTTAAATAATTATCATTGAAGTATCATTCTTGCCTAATTGATATTAAGAGAAATTAATTTTTTATTTTTTCTTTTCAATTTTAGGAATATTAGAAAATTTCTATATAAAAAAATACTGAATTAAGGAAATTAAACATCTAATTAAAAATTCTATGCTTGGCTTATTACATTTTAATATATCCAAGCTTTCTGTCATCTTAATCAAACTTGGAATCAGATTATTAATGATAACACATTCAGATAATATTAGTTCTTTTTCTTATTCTGTTAATACTTAATAATCTTAACAGATATAATTAACTCTTTGACTAACAAATTTACTAAATTGTTTTCTGTATTCAAAAAATTATTCTTAATACATTAAGACTTATAATTCATTTAATAAATTAGTGCTAGATGTCATTATTACTAAATTAGACATAGCAAAAGTGAAAATATTTGATACAAATATAATTGCTTAATCTTTTTCTAATTATGACATACTTTCAGGATTGTCCTAAAATATTAAATATAAATATTACAATAAAATTAAGTTTGCACTTATCTAATCTTTTTTATTGAATTATGGAAATCATTTTTGAGAATACCATTTATGTCCATTATTTAATTTTGATTGCAGTAATACCTTCATTATATTTCAATGATTTCTAATTTCTTTTTAAAATCTCTTATTTTAATTACCAAGATGTTCTCTTTTAACTTGAATATTTATAAATAATAATACTTGCAAAGATTCTTCATTCTTAATAATGCTTTAATCATTTAAAAACATCTTCTAATCCTTTGAAATTTAAATTAAATCAAAGTTGGAATTTTTGATATCGTTTCTTTTGTAAAACTAGTAGTTTTATTTGGTTTTGGAGTATTATCAACACTAATATAATGTGAATGATCACTAAAATTCTCAAGTCCACCATCAGAATCATCACATTAAAATGTTTTTCTTATTGTTCTTGGATTGTACAGACTTATTCTTGGACAGTTCATATTATCATAATTGTTATTAAGTTCTATACTCTATCCTCTAGTAGCAACAGAATTATTATTAGATTAACGACTTGTTATTCTTTATCTTGATTACTAATCTGTTGAAATTGAGCTCACTCTATTTTTCTTCTGATATTCTTAATAATTAGGATCATCTGAAACTGAATAACCCATCTTCATAAGAAAACTTTAGTGATCTCCTTTATCATCTATAATATATATTAATATTTTTACTTTCATGAGTGTGTCTTTTAGAATAATCATAATTAGAAGATTGGTCACCATTCAAAATGGTCTGTCCGGTTAATTTGAATTTTTTTCTTTATGTTCCTAGACGAGAGTTCTATCTTTCATTTTTTGTGAGTATTTCAATTGATGAAAACATAATCAACTTAGTGTTAATCTAATCTAATTTTTATATGAAAATTTATCAATCCAATTATTTATTTATTTATATATAATTGGTTTATGATGTCATGAAACATCATCATATTTTCATTATCACATTATGTATTTATATATAAGAATAAAAACAACTAAAAAGTTCTCTTAATTTGAAGATTAGGATTATCACAAAAATATCAACAAAAATGATATTGTAATTTTTATTATTACAATAGAGAGATTCAGTTATAATTTATCTTTATAATAATATTTGAATATTAAACCACAAAATCTTCAATTTAATATCTAATTATAATAATAAAATCATTTAATTAAGAAAAGAAAAAAATTTATTAATTTAACTAATTTATTATAATTAATATTCATATATTTAATCTTAATTGCAATTCTAAGCATCTTTAATAGTATTTTAAAAATTATTAAGTATAAATATAATGATTTTAATATATACTTATATTAAATATAATAAGTATCTAAGATCTGATAAAAAATTAATTGTAATTCTTTTAAATTTGATTGTAATTAATATTGATTATTAATATAACATAATAATTACAATATTTATCAATTTTAATACGCAATATTAATTTTAATTGATATTAAAGAATATAAATATAATATTATTAATCCAACATTTGTTATATATACTCAACTAATCAAAGTTTTGGTTGATCTGATTTAGCTTTGACAACAACTTTACCATTATTTTAACCTAATAAAAGTTTAGCCAATCCATTTGGAGCTTATTCTAAACCATTTTAAACATCATATCTTATCTAAAAATATAATGATATGTTTTACTTTTAATTATCCTTATTTGATCATTTAAGTTATTGTTGCTTATCCTGGCTTAAATAATTCAGGATGATCAAAATAAAGGAAACCTTGCATGACTGCTCTTTTTATAATTAATCTAGGGTAATTTTTAACTTTATATGGTTCTATATAGATAATGATAATAAATAATACCTCCAGTTTAATTGTATGTGGCAATGGCTCCACAAAGTATAATTCTTGTATGATCTGTAATATGCATCAATATTTCATCTAACATTTCTCCACCTACATTATCAAAATACACATGAATTCCATTGGGTGTTAATTCTCTTAATCTTTTACTGAGATTTTCATTTTTATAATCAATACAATCATGTGCACCCAATTATTTCTTTACATAATCACATTTTTCTGGACCACCAGCAATTCCAATTACTTTACACTTATAATAGGTTTTAGCCAATTAGACTGCAATTTCTCCAACAGCTCCAGCAGCAGCAGATATAACAACGGTCTCTCCTTCTTTTGGTTTTCCAATAGCTTCAAATCCAATATAAGCTGTCAATCCACTAATTCCTAAAGGACCTAAGAATGAATATCCAGTCAAATCATCAATATCACCTCCTCTTTTAATAAGATGCAATTTGGCATCACTAATAATTTAATATAATGTCCAATTAACAAGACCAATCACATAATCCCCTTTTTAGAACTTTTCACTTTTTGAAGCTAGAACTCTTGATACAGCTTGTCCAAACATAGTATTACCAGGAAGGACTGGATCTACATATGTTTTGGCACTATATACAATTTAATATGATAATGAATACCCACTAATCCATACTCTCATTGTTGCATCAATTGAGAAGTATAAATTTTCCAACAATACTTCACCATCTTTAAGTTGATTAACAGTTGGAGTTGAGGCTGTCTTAACTTAGAATACATCATTCACTCTTGGATATTTGGCATCAGGCTTCTTAATTAGTTATACTTATAGATTTGACATATTTGAGGTAAATATTTAAATTAGTGTATGTGATATAAAGTAAATTTAACAAGGCGTATTAATTGAATCAAATTAAGAATCTTTTTACTATAAAAAAATGTATATTTATTCTTTTAAATTATCTATGCAATGTATATAATAGTAATCAAAAACATTAGAAATATGTTTAATATGTATGATCATGGTCTTTATATGTTGGATAATCAATATTGGAATAAAAAGATGATTATAAAAAAAATTAAGTGATTTGATTTATTTATTGAAATGCATTAAATCGTTTTTGCCTAATTTTTTTAATGAAGATCTTTGCTCTCTTGCTGATATTAGTTATAGTGTCTGGTACTAATCATCAACATAGACTCAATTACACTAAGTAGAGATCGATCACTTCTGTGATGGCTGAGGTGGAAATGAAGATTAAATCTCATTCTCCATTAGATTCTGTTTTGAATGTACTTACATAATTTAGAGATTCTGTCAATGAGGAATAAGTCAATCATGACTAAATCTTTAATGTGGAATTAAATGAATGTTAGGCTGAATATGAATTTAGAAATGCTGAAATTCAAAACGCCAAAAGTACTCTCAGAGATTCTAATGCTCAATTAAGCACTTGTTAATATTCAAAATAAAGAACAATTGAATAATAATAAGTCAATTAATAATAAGAAAATACCTTCTAGTAACATCTAAATACCATTCTAACTACTGCTGAAACAGAATCAGGCTATTTTAAGAAGAGAGGTAGATAATATGAAGATTCATTACATGCTATAGATGAAGCATTGACAATATTGGAAGGAATTTCATCTGGATATAGAAGTTTCTCTGAATTAAGTAAAGTAAGTCAAAGAATGTTATAAACATCATTTGATATTAAGAAAACTCCAATTTATACTCCTATTTTTAATAGATTTATTTAATTGGCAAATCAAGGAGAATCAGTTGATTTGAGTTCAATTTAATAAGTAGAACATTTACTTAAAGATTTAAGATCCACAATTGAAGATGCATATAATTAATTTACAGAATCAAATGTTTAAAGTGTTGCATTATTTAATTTATAAAAGGAGAAGGTAAACAAAGTTTTATCAAGATTATAATAATAATATGAGAGATAATAAGTTAAATTAGATAAATTATCAGCTTGTATTGGAGTTCAATCAGCAGTATCAAATTCTGCTTCATCTAAATAATAAAGAAATCAATAATTATTAGAATAAGCTCAAGCCTTATGTTCAACTTTTTAGACTGAATATAATTATGGTACTTAATCAAGAAGAAATGAAATTTAATTGGTGAATCAACTTGAAGAGATGGTTAGATAGAGATTTGAAGAAGTACATGAAGAGAAGATAGTGTTAAAATTCGCCAAAATGAAATATTGAGTAATTCAAAATATAATATAAATTAATAATGGGAACTGCATGTTATTCTCATTAGACAAGAAAATAGCATCTAAATGATATTAGATTTGGATAATAGAATCTAATGTTTAAGATGGTAATTTCTGGTATCAAGGTTAAAAATATACAACAGTAAAGTGCATATGTGATAGTAAAAGTGAATGAACATCTCTATAAAACCACAATGATCAGATATACTAAAAATCCACATGTACTCTTACTCCTTTAGTATAGTGGCCTTAAACTTTTACTTTTGATTTACATATAGATCCTCAAAGTATGCAGACTCAATTCTTTACACTAGTACAATATTCAAATATCCTCCCAAGCAAATCCTCGACGATTCAGACAAAATTCATTATAGAATCAAATATACAATATATGAAATTGCTAGTGGACCTTAACATCATGATATTATGTTTAGTGTAATTTCTATTTTGCTATTTTAGAACAAATCCTCAATTATATTTGATATTAAAGTAGCTTAAAGATTACATTTTAAGATAAATACAAAACATATTCGTTGTATCTTAGAAGAACAATTAGGTGATATAGCCTATAGTTTTCTATTAAAAATTAAATCTCAAGAAAATGAATCTCAATCAGCAATTTCTCCTAAATATATGAATCCAACCTATTCATAAAATGATGATATTCCATATAAATATCAACATATTAAAGGTGGTTCATAAAGACATGTCTCTACTAAAAAAGCATTAGAAGCAAAGAATGAAATACTTTGGGAATTCAGAACAGAAGATTCCCCATCTATGGAATTTGACATTTTTGGAAATGATTTTTAAATTACTACATTTGTTTTTGTACTTTATGCTAATAAATAAACAAAATAAGAAGAATATAAAAGAATTGGTAGTACATATATTAGTTTTAATAAATTCTTTTATGATAATACAGCCTAAATTGCATAGACTGACACACTCTTAATTTAAGAAGCATAATTAAATGAATAATTGATTTCTGATGGTACATATATTGGTAATTGGACAGGAACATTTATTATTAGATCTAATCAATATGTTAGTTAATGTAGTGGAGTGAAAACAGAAACAGGAATAGTTAATTAATCTACTTTATTATTAAAGAAAGCTAAATCTAATAATAATACAAATAAAGAAGTAGATTGGCTAATTGGATTATAAATAAAAGTAGAAACATTATCTTAGACTATGAGAGATAAAAAGATTAAAGAATCTGAAAAAATAAGAAATGAAATTATATCAACTTTGGCTGAAAATCACAATATTAAATATTAAAGTGTTGATGATATGTTACATAGTTAATCAGTATAAATAAAATTATGGAAATACTTATTAGAATAGAGTAGTAAATAATAAACAGAAATGGTTAAAGAAATATGTTTTACTGTACTTAGTGAACTTATTTATAGAGATGATATGGATTTAGATCATTTGAGTATTGATACTTAAATAGAACGTATTCATAATGCTTAATTATTTATCACTTTAATGATTAAAGTTATGCCTCTTTGTTTATAAAGAGTTGTTGATACTTCTTGTTCAAATAAAGAACATGATTTTTTTGTTAAATTTGCTGTACTCTCCTATTTCAGAGTACCTCAATTTAAACAAGCTCTGTTTCCAAATATAGAAAATATCTTAATTCATAAATTTTATGATTAAGCATTCTAAAATGAAAAAGGATAATAATTAAAAAAAGAATTAGAATCATTAAAATTAGATATACCTGATAAATAAATTGTACATTTTTATTATCCTTTTGTTATATAATGGGTTAATTTTGTTTAATGTAAATTTGGATTTAATGTAAATTGGTAAAATATATAAGGATATGATGAAATTGTAGAATTGTTACTATCTAATATCTAATTAAAAAATCATAAATTTATTGAAGCATCATGTGCAATTATCAATAATTCTATGTTGCTTAGTAAATTTATTCATATATTATTCAATTAAACAAAATTATATGATGCAATATAAGTGTTTAATACTTTAAATATTGTAGATGTTTGGTTACAAAAAGTTAATCAAAATTATCATGTTTTACCTACTAATTTTGATTATTCTTTTTTTTTCAAGGGAATTAAATTAATCTTAAATGGTGATCATGCTGTTTCCATAAGTAAGAGTTTATAAATTTTATATAATAATTTCCATTTAATTACAAGTAACAATTATTAAACAATATAAATATAGCTGAACCAAAAAAAGAATTATGTGATTTCTTATTTAGTACTGATTTATTTTTTAAAATATTTATGCATTGGAGTCCTTTAGTTAGAAATACATTTATACATTTATTAATTTATAGAATTTAACATCGTCATAAATCTTTATAATCTGGATTCGAAAAAATTAGAGATATTAATAAAGAATTATAATATGCATTCTTTAAAGATTATTCATAAAAAGAAAGAGATCAATTAATAAATGATATGATCTATCTCAAATATTCATATATCATATAAATTATTAGAAAGATTTACTAATAATTTTAATTGTATAATGGAGGGAAACAATATGTTTAAAAAGTTATTTAAGAAAGAAGTCTTAAAGCTAAACTCATAAGAAAAAAAGCAAAAGAAAAAAAAGAATAATTATTACAAAATGAAAAATAAAATGAATAAGATTCAACTACTCTTAAGAATTCATCTAGAAAAAGTGAATTACCAGAAATCAGTTTCTAATCTTAAGTTAGTAAAGCTTAAAGTGCTATAGGATTTGCAGAAAGACCCAATAATTCTATGAAATCACTTGATGATGGTAATCAAAAAGTAGATGATGAATAAGTACCTGATAACACTCCAATCAATTCTGAATTCTATTAGAGTTTTTCTTCTTTTATTGATCTAAACAAAATACTTTAAGAAGTTGAATAAGAATAAGAAAATGAAGAAAATCGAAGAAGATTACCAAAAAAATAATCGAATAGATGTTTATCCCCAAACAATGTTACTAAATAATAAGATATGAAAATATTAACTAGAAAATTCCCTGAATTAGAATTTGAGACCTCAGGACTTAAAGCATCAAATCTGAAGTATCTTTAAATTGCTTATTAAGAATATACAATAGTATAAAAGGAATATTTAAGGTATATAATTATTTTTAGGTAGATGGATCAATCAAATGAAATGCAATCAAAGAAATTTGAATTAATTTGAATAAGTTAAAGATCATTAGGTTCCTCTTTTAATAATAAGAGTACCAAAAGACGAATCAAATTAAGAAGCTCCTTAAAGTGATGATTGAAGAATGCTAATTAATATTTCAATTTTTAATACCATTTACTATTTAAATATTCAAATCTTCAATCAGTTTTGCATTTTCTTTTTCTATTAACAAGTTGCCACGTCATAGAAATCTTTAATTATATTAAACTCTATTATATAAATTATATTAAGTATTTAAAAATCTATGACAGATATATAAGACTAAATAGAAACAAGTGAACGAGCAAATGAGATATAATAGGAATAAAGGGCATATGGAAATTCTTGTACTAAAAATAAAGATGAGCAAAAATACTTTTATCGATTAATATTAGCATAATTAATAGTCATTTTTATTTCAACCTTTTTACCCACTAAAAAGTACTTCTTCAATTCAATCATAACTTATCCAAGAAGTAACATCACTTTTGATGAATATTGTAAAACATATGAAAAATGCAGATAAAATTATTACTATTTTAATTCACAATATTATTAATAAGACTTAAATCAATATGAAGTTTGGAAGAATTCAGTAGTTCAAGATTAAACTGAATACAAAACATTATATTATTTTTCCCTCATTCTTTTACCTTCATTATTGATTATTTAATCAGTATTTAGAAATTGCTAATTATTTGTAAGCTTTTTGGTCTATTATTATTCTAGAAAAATTAATAGAAAATGTTCTACTACTTACAATATCCATCCATGAGTCTATTTATTTAAGTTTTTTCTCACTTAATAAAACAGGGAGAAAGTATTATTATTATTTATTTTATTAGATAAGAACATTTTTTACAATTTGAGAATACTAATTTTATATTAAATAGGAATTGTGACATTCTTTTACTTAAATCAAAAATTCTTGAAATGGTAACTTGAATTAAAATCTACAATTTAAAAATTGGTTAATTATTCCTTTATTATCATTTGTTTAAAGGAAATACTAAATTTTTTCGGTTTAACTCAATCTAATTGGATACCTCACATTATATTCATTTTATATACTTAAGTATATTTATTACATCTTAATACAAATTTATTCAAAGTAAAAAATACAATTAATCTTAGGAAAATAATAGATATATTATCCATAATTAATCAGCTTTATAATTAATAAAATAAAAACTATAATCCCTTTTTGTTGTTTAGGATGATTATAGAGAGGTAGCAGAGAATTATTTTGTTATTTCAAAGAAGAAGATGTACTCTTGGATTTTCGGAATCATTTTATCCATGGTTTTTAGAGATTATATATTTAATCTTTAAAATTTTATTGTTCTATCTGGAATCTTCGTGATCTTTGTTTGGGATACATCACTTGTATCTACAGTAAATTAATTATATTAATATTCATAGTCATCGAAATTCACTTTGAAAGATCAGTATCAAGCAGCAAGTTTATTCATTTTAGATTTCATGTTGCCAATCAGAAATATTATCCTAAGATTACTTGTTTGAAAATATGATTCATATTTTTATATAATAACATCAACATGAATCTGCTGCTAATGAATATAATCTCTATCTAAATTCTAATTGCTTATTTGAAGAGAAAGTATCAGTATCTTCATTTGCTTTTGCTTCTATAAATTTCGAGAAATTTGATTTTTAGAATTTAAAGAGCTTAGGTCTTTTTTATTTATAAGTATGACTTAAATTGTCATCTATGTCTCTGGGACTATGTTCCTCTGGCTATTGTTTATTGATATATGATACATTAATGTTTTCTAACATTCTTTCAATTTTCTGTATATTGGTTTCATTCTTTATTTCTTACATCACTTGTTATATTCTAAAATCTTTTGCTATTAACATATCTATGAATCAATTATATATGTCACCTTTTATTTCACTTTTTTGCTCTATTCCTATGCGATTAGATTTATATAAATAATAAGTTATAAACAAGAGCTTGCCTTCACATGTCTAAAATTAATCCATTTTTTATTTTTTTTACAAATTATAAACATTTATTAATAAATAGAGTTTAGCTTATTTGATAAATAATTTACAAGTATTACCACTCAGGTTCTTTGCAAGATTATGAATACATAAACATTACTATATATTAAAAAATAATCCTAAGAGATTTATTAATATATTATATTTTTATCACTAAATCTAGTTAATGAATGATAATAAATAAACAGAATATTGTAGTTAATATTATAGTTATAAAAATTAATTTAATTTTATGTTTCCAAAGATTCATTCAGTTAATTTAATCTAAGAACACTATCCAGTAAGTATTTCTTAAATAATTCAAAAATCTTAATTTATCATTTAATAGATGATTCATAAAGTAGACTAAGTAATTTTAATAATTAATTTAGATAATATAATATCAATATTTAATAGCTTAAAATTAATTTTTTATCCAATTATATTTCAAATGAATTTATCTAATTTTTTATTATATATTTCACTTATTTAATTATCCATTATTAAGAATTCATATTAAATCCTTTTCTTACTGATAATTTTATTTGATATGTACTCTAAGTATATATTTATAGCCCTATTATTTATTTAAAGTCAAAAAAGTTTCAAGTTTTTGATTTGAAATGTGTAATTAAAGAATAAAAATGATAATAAATTAAATACTTTTATTCTTATGGGTGTGAAGTAAAAAAATTAAGACTTAAATTATTTTTCTTCATAGTTGAAACATTCTTCAGATTGCTTAATTAATATTAAAAGTTGAATCCAGTTAAAAATGTATTAAAATCAAGAAATTTTATTTATTCTTAAAAATTGATCATGTATTTTGATATATTTAAATAAACCAATAAAAAATATTCATTTTAGGGATTATGGAAGTTTATTATAACAATAGTTATTTATGATAATAAAATGGATTACATCTTTTTTAGGGGTTATTTCATCTTGTAATCTTATCTTATACAGAGAAATTTATTTAATTTATAATATATTCATACACGAAAAACATTCAGATATTCCTTCTAATTTAAAATTGCTTTCATATTGTTATTTTATAGATGGGCTTGTCATTTATGAGTACTCTTCTATAAAATAAATGGTATTTCGATTAAGGTTTTAGAGTTGTAGTATAGTACTTTCATAGAAGAAGAGGTCTGTAAAGTAACTGGATTAATATAATACTCTTAACCAACCCTCACAGTTTTTCTATTATTTAATATCATAAACTTGTCACAAAACCGCTTTGATTTATCACTATAAAATTAGATATTCTCATAAACTCATTTTTAGTATAATAATTATATTTATCAAGATATCCCTTTAAATTATAAATGTGAAAAAAACATAACCAAATAACTTTAAGTATGGCATTTTTTTCTAAGTAAGAGTTATAATAGGTCACCTAGTTAATTTTAATTTTTCGGATATACTATAAGAAATTTGACCTTTCCATTTCAACATTTACATGAAAGTTAATGACATTCCTGGATTTTTTACTCTTATCATACATCTTGTTTTTTTAATTAAGTTTGTTTTCAGAGTTAGAGCTTTGGTTTGGAAAATTTGAGTGGGAGTCTAAAGTAAGAATAAATTTATCTTTTTCTCTAAATTTGCATGTGGCACCCATTTTTATAAAAAAAATAATTGAAAAAGAGACTAATTAATTGTGATAAATAATAAATATTTAGAAATTTTAGAATATATTTAAGCATAGATTTTTGACAAAACAATTAATAAAATAGATGATGAGCTATTCTGATATTAAAAAGTATTTCATTTAAACTTTATTGGTATGAATTATCAGTATTCAAATATTTGAATCTAATTAATAATTTAATTTTGGGGTGAAAATGACTTATATCATGAATTTAGAAAAAGTCAGAATTTAATGTAATGAAATTAGTTGGTGTTAAATAATGTTTAATTACTTTTTTTCAAAAGGAGAAATATAAATTATGAATTAACATTCAAATATGTTTGAATATTTTTATTTTTTACTTTAATTTATTTGCATAAACTTTAATTATTATTATTATAAAATTGATGTATTTTGAAACTTATAATTAGATAAAGTCTTTAGTATTTCAGACCTAAAGAAAGTTATAGGATTTTGCTAATACTGTAAAATTAATTATTAGATAGTTATATATAGAATATTTTAGTAAAAATAACAAAAAAATGTATTGATAAGAATCAAAAATTTTTAAAGTCTGTCTTATCAATTATTATGCACAAAAAAATTTGTAAAACTGCATTTAAGCCTGTTGATTTAAACCTTGTTAAACATATTTAATAATCTATTTTCTAAACTTTCAAAAAACCTAGAAGTAAGCACAAGTAGTTCAAACTTAGGCTATGATTGATTTTATATTCTTTAAATTTTAGTTTTCTTATTGACAAAAATTGAAATCCAAGATATGTTTAAGTTTTTATAATTTAATATCTCCTTATTATGTTTAATTTATTTAAGAATTATTAATTTAGCTATTAGAGAAATTTAATATGATCAAATTATTTATAATTATTCTTAATTCATGCATGAGACCAAATTATTGACATTTTCGTTCTTTTATTGTATATTTAATTTAAATAACAAGTTATTTTGTTTAATAATGTTATTTCAGTAAAAACAGATTTCCCATAAAGAAAAAATTTAATCTTAGAACATATTGAATTAATAATTGTAAATATTAAATTATTATTTTAATTCAGTTATTGGCTTTTTATTCTTATTCTTTTAAATATGACTCATATTGCGATTTTAACATTTTTTACCTAAAGTAAAATATGATAAATGTAGCTGTAGAAGTTAATGTTCCTCCTACTCCAGTAAAAGCTGCTCTGATTGCTACTTTTCTGGCAACTTGTGAAACTAAAACTTCAACAGCAGCTGTTCCAAGGCCTTCTGCCACTATTGCAGCCCCACAAGATGCCACTGCAGCACCTATAGAAACTATAACAAATCCTGTCTTAAGACCAAATTCCCATTTTGTAATAGTTTTGATAAGATTTATAATTGTATTTGCATTATTTTAGAGGATTGATGTATTCACTTTAATTGGCGAAATTTTTGTATTTTTGCAATAAATTTCCATCTTTAAACACATCAGTACATCATTAATTGCATTTTATAAAAACGCAGAATTATTTTTAAATCTTTCATTCAACTAACACCATTCTAAAATTTTACCCAAAATTTCTTTTACATTGTCTTAATTGATTTATTTGACAATAAAACATTAGAATTATTAAATTAGTTATTTTTTGCCTTCTAATGTATCTTCATCTTCTAAAATATAAGTATCGATTTAATTTTTTAAAAGGGCAACAATCTATTCAATTTTAATTTAAAGCATTGAAAGAACAATTTCATATAAATAAAATAATTTTGAGTCTATTTATAAATTTAGTTTTAGTTAAAAATCTTAATTTTATTTATTTTCATTAATTATCTATAACATTTTTTTTTGAATTTAAGTATTTTATTCTAAAATTTACTCTGATTATAAATTTTTTTTAGGTTTAGGAAATTCAATACATTAATTATTCTTTTAATACATTTCTCTATAAAATGTGTACTTTCCTTCCAGCAAGCCATGGTAAGCTTCCTCCCAATTTTCAATGTAATCTTATCTTGTATTTTACTTTGTTTTAACTAAAACCAAAGAAGCCCATTTATTATTTTCTTTAGTTAATTATTTTTTATCTTACAACAATAGATAAATGGGATCAATTGTATCCTTAATAATTTATGCATCTCTGTTGGACGAATCAATTATAAAAAATCCTAATACCTTTTTAGTTTTAACCATATGATTATATAAGCTAATCCTATGTGCAATTCTAATTTATTATGATATATTATCATCAAATCCTGGACAATCGTAAAACCAAACATCTCCTATTTGCATATCTGAAATTTTTTATGTCTCACTCATACATCCATGTTCAATCTTAAATTATGTTTCATCTTTACTTACATAACAAAGTTCACTTATTTTCTTCTCTATTGTTAAACTTTCAGGATTTTTGAGTAAATTTATTAAAGTACTTTTGCCAACTCTGCTTTTTCCAAATAGAAATACCCCCACTTCTCTTTCATTTTCAGGTCCTTCCTATATGTGTTAAGTAATTTATTTAAAATTTTAGATTATGCTTTCAACCATTAAAGTGCTATAAGAATTCCAGCATTTAAAATTAAGGATTAAATTTTTTATTTCATTTACATTTGTTGATGCAAATTCTTTGGGTATATATTTTTTGAACATATTATTGATAAATTCTATTTCAGATGATTTTGCTATTAGAGCTTGTATTAGAAGGTTTTCAAAAGAAATTCGTTTATCTTATAAAAAACTTTCTATTATTTTAATATTTATCTAGTTTAAATATTAATTAATTTATTCGTGATGCTATTAATTTTAATTATTTATTGCTTTAAACAAATGATATATGGATTCTAAACTTTAATTAGATTATTTCTAAAAAATATTATTTAGTTTCTCGATAAGACTGACTAGACAATTATTTAAATCTTATTCGTCTTGTAGATTCGGAATTTATTACAAATACAAAAGTTAATCCTAATAACTTCTTAAAATTGTAGTAATTTAAATAACATAATCTTCCATTTATTCTTACAAAAACATACTCATAGGTCCATAATATAACTCTTACACGTTCTATATTTTGTAAAATATATCTTAATTTTTGAAAAAAATTTCTTCATTTTTACTACTAAAGATTAATCTCAAAGCCTGCTACTTCAAAATATGTTTAATGTCTATAACACATTTCTTGATATTTTTAACAAGAGAATAAGAAATTGCTTACTTATTTTTAATATTTAATATCAAAGAAACATAAACATTCTTAAACTCCAATTCTCCATAATTAAATAATCCATAATCAGTAATCTAATTAAGTTATTCTTGTTGAGTATTTCCTTAAAGTTTTTCAAAATTAACAATTATGTGGTATAAACAATCTTTAAATTGAAGTAGAATCTTATTTAAGATTATTCTGGTAACACATTATTTAAGACATAATTATACATCTTGTATACCCTCTAAGGAGTATGGTGTATTAATAAGATAAGAGACTTTTGATTCTTTTTTTAATTTCACAATTTTTATATATTCATCTTGTACAATCACATTTTTATCTTAGAAATGAGCGTATAATCCATCTACATCTTCATGTTAAAACCCAAAAACAGCAGTATTTTTTATTTTTATATTTACTCTATCCTATAAGAAGTTGAAGATTGAGTTTAAATGAACTTTAAGTTTAAAAATAACTCATTCAATCTTTATTTAGGGTCGTTAATTTATTATAGCATAAATAATTATCTAAAGTTCTTAATAGAATTTCGAATTATAAATTGCTGTAATAGAATAAGATTAAAAATTCTAATAGAATTACTATTTTAGATGAGAATTAGAATTAGGATACGGTCAAAAATGATCTAGTTCCACAATTGACTGAAATTTTATATTAATTTCTATTGAAGAAGGTAAAACAAGATTTTTTAAAATTGAAATAGAGTTTTGGATTGGGTTTCGAACTTGGAATCACTATTGTGCCTCCACTTTACATCTAATTTTTTTCATAGGACTTCCATAAGAGATGGATTTAATCTTGTGTCATAAGTTCTATGAGTATAGGATAAATAAAATTTAATTATGATAGAATTTACACACTAATAATAAAAATAATTAATTATATAATAAAAATTATGATAATAAATTAATTGATTGTTATTTCCTTTAATATTTTTTTTAAATGATAATTTACTTATAATTACTGATATAAAAATTATACTATTACAATTCTTAATTCTATAAATATTTATAAAGTAATTTTGATTCTACATGTACATTCTAATTCATTTGTTTAATTTATTAGATAAACCACTTAAGAATATATAGACCAGCCATTTTCTATAATTCAAACTTCCTGAAAAGTTTAATAAGTTATATTGATATATAAATAATATTGTTTGAAATTAAAGTAATAAATAATCATCTATAAAGAATATTATAATCATATTAATTCATTATATATTATTATAAGTAAAACAAAAAGAAGAAAATGATAGGTATTTTAAATATAAATATTTTATCAATACAAATCATAACTCTAATCTGCTTAAGTATTTGAACTGACTCTTCTCTGATAAATAGGAATTTTTTTAATAGAGGTAAAAATATAAATTTATTCAACAATCGAGAGCAAATTCTAATTTGACTCATTTTCTATTTTTTTGACTTTAATAAAATACTTTTTAATCAAAGCTATTAGCTAGCATTAATTAAGTATGATTTAGAGGATAATAAAAATAAAATAAACCCATTTTAGTCAAAGATCTTTTATTATAAAATCTAGCAAATTATTAAGTTTTCTATGCATAAAATACCTCAATTAATTAATAAGTTAAGTTAGAAAATTAAAAAATTTTTGTATCAATATTTCAAATATTTATCTATAATTTAAGATATCTCTAAATTTATTTAAGAATAAAAAAATAAGTAATTAGATTCATCAATATTTGGTTAAACAAAGAGATGAATACTTTTTGAATATATCATGACATGGGATTAATCTTATATTTCTGATTATTTGAATTGTTACTATTTAGTAGAAACTATTTAAGCTTATTTGACCACCTAACAGCCCATTTAATAAACAAATTAATATACCAGTTGTCTTCTAATTATAATTAATAAAATATAGATCTAAAATATTCATTATTACATAAGGTGAGAGTAATTTATTTTTATTGTTAAGATTATATAATTATGAATGAATGATACAACAAAAATAATTTAATATATTCTTATATCAATAAATTCCTAAGATTTTAAGGCATTTAGGTTATTAATGAAATATTGACAATGAAATAAATTTTTAAAATGATTACTTATTTGGATAGAATGAAATTTATTAGGGAAATAAAATATGATTAAAGAATAAATTATATATTGATATAATGAGATTAATAAATATTATAAATTGTCTGTTAGAAGAAAAAAGAGATGTCATAATTTTTAAAACCAGTATAAGCATCATCACCACCAAAATCTAGAAATACAATATCTCCAAATACATAGTCTAAAAGTCCACATTACACTGAGTTATAATAAGGTTCTTCTTATATAATTTAGTTTTAGGATCGACATTACAAAAATCATAATAGAGTTTAAGGAATTCCCATTACACAAGTAAGTTTGAGAAGAGCATTGATATGGATATGAAATAAAGCAATACATTTATAAATCCAGAATTTGAGATAAAGAAATTAATGAATTTAGTGGAATTATAATAACACGAAATAAACAATTGGAAACGTCGTTATGAATAAGCAGAAGCTAGAGTATTATCTAAATATTAAATTAGTGTATTTCATCTAATCAGACTTAAACAATGCTTGAATATGAAAAACATTTAGATTAATTGACTAAAGAATTAAAAAATTCAATATAATAAAATGATGAACTTAGTAGTAAATTAAGAGAAAAAGATACTTAATTAATACGATTAAATAAATAAATAGATATTTAGAAATAATAATTGAATGATTATTAATCTGAATTAAAGTATTTATAACATGAAAAAGTAAATATGGATAAGGATGCTTCTATTTAGTTATTTTAAAAAGATTAGAAATATAATTAAAATTTATAAGAGATTTAATAAGCACATTTAGAATAATTATAATTGATGGATGATCAAATATAGAAATTACAAGATGAATTAGTGAGAAGAAATTAAGCTATTGAATTTTAGAAATAAGAAATTGTATAATTGGATAAGATTGTAAATGAGATAAAAACAGGAGAAAAGAATTTAATTTAATAATTAGAAGCTCTAAAATTAAAATATTAGGATTTGTAAGAGGAAAAGAAAAGAGAAGTAAATAAATTAATATAATAAAATGAATAATAAATTAAATCATAAGAAAAAGAATTTTTAGATGAAAAGGAGTGTTTAGTTCATAGAATTAGTTAACTTTAATATGAGAATAATATTTTGAATTAATAAATATAAGAATAATAGAGTAATTATTAATTATAAATATAATAGATTTAATTTAAGGATTATAAGAGGAGATACAATCTCAAGTAGAATAGAATTGTAATTTACAAGAGTAGAATTAGTTGAGTTCTAAAGATTTAGATTAAAAATATAGAAAATCAATTTCAGAAATAAAGATGGAATATTAATAATAGATTAATAAATTATTATAAGAGATTTAAAAATTGAATTAATAATTGGATTAATGTTAAAAATAAATATAAGAAAATTAGTAATTGAATTAAGAATTATAAATTGGATTAGAAAACTTAAATTAACATAATTAAACTACATCATCTTAATTAAAATAAGTATAAAATGATTATGATTCATTGTAATTACAATATGAAAATGATATATAAGAGTAAAATTAAGATATTGAATAATTAAATGAATAAGTAAATCAATTAACTGAATTATTGGAATAAAGATCAAATGAATATGATGAATGTAGATAATAAAAGGGATAGTTAGCATTAAAAAATAATGAAAATAATGTAATTATTGTAAAATTAATTATTAGTTATTAATATAAAGAATGTAAGTAGAATTAGAATGTTAAAAATAGAAATTGATAGAGATATAAAAATAATAAGAAGTATCAGAATAAGTAAAAGAAGAAATCAAGAGATCTTAGATTGAATAAATTAAGAGATAGATGGAATCATAGGTTGAGATATTAGAGAGTGAGAATAGAACTCTTAGATATTAAATAGAGATGAAGAATAGAGAATGTGAAGAATGGAAACAATAGTATACTAGAAATTAATGATTTTTTATATTATCAGTTACTGTTGATTTATATCTTTGATAATTATGAAACCAATTTTTGAAAAAGTATTGAAATGAGTCCAATAATGTCAACTTGTGTCATCAAGGCTGCAATAATATAGTCATCTATATCTAATTCATGTTTCTAATTATAATTATTATTTTCTTACTTCTCCATTTACAATAAGAAGTGTATCTATTATAATATGCACTCCATATAAGATATTGAGGAATGACAAAATAAATAAAAATATGAGTGATAATTTTAAGTAGAGGAATAAGAAAATAAATAACAGAGCAATAGTAAAAACTATATATATTAAACCTTTATTTAGATTGATTTCTTATTTTGTTAAATAAGAATAAATGAGGAGTGAAATGATAATACCTATTTGTAATGTAATCAATGAAATGATATGATTTGAGTATGTATGATAATGATGGGTTGTGTAAAAAAATATGTATGAGATAGAGAGTGTAAAACAACTATAACAGATATAATTATAGGGATGTTGTTTGGCTAATCTTGATTTACATATAAATTTACTTTTAAAAATTGATTAGCAAAAATATTACTAAGATCAATAAAACCATAAATATCCAAAATAAAAATGGTCTGTTGCAAAGGTAATCAATTATTGGATATTGGGAATATGCTATCAATGTAGTAATGAAAGTAAATCCAATTTGAAATAAGATTATCAGAAACACCTCATTAGGCAATATCTTACCTTTCTGATGAAGCTTAATCTTGCATACTCAATTTTTTGTTGCTCAGTATCTACAATCTCAATATCGAATGCCTAATAATTATTCTATTCATAGTCCATTTTTATTGATTAAATTATTTATTTATAAATGACTGAAGCATAACAATTAGAAGAATTTACAATATATGGAATTCAAAGTGAATTTAGTGCAAGAGGTCAAATCAAATATGAAGATCTAAGAATGCTCATATCAGATTATATGTAAATGTAACCTATCTTCTTCTTAATTGTTCAAATCCTTGAACAAGAACATTAAATTTAGATAGTTGAAAAGATCAAAATTGATATCTAAACCATCTTTTCAACTTTTAGATCCCTTTCTTTTTTACAAGAAGTTCCAAGAGTATATTACTTATTCTCTATCTAAGTTCCTAAATGGACGTTTAACACACCTTAATGTTCGTAATATAAAAGCAGCAATTTAACTCTATCATGATGGACTTCTTACGTAATTGCATATTGTTTTATTTAGGATGAAGGATATTAAAGATGCTTGTCTTATATTTCATCTTCGAGAGTAAGAGTTAATGAGTGAAGGAGTACCATGTAATGCAACTGAAATTAACAATTTATTATGGGTAAAAACATTTATATCATTTTCTTTATTACAGGCAATAGGAAAAGCTATAAGCAGTAGTGTTTTGGAAGATTGGATTAAGAGATGCACTGATTTTCTATAGATTAAAGGTTTTATTCAAGAATTTGAGTTTCTCTACCTTATGGCCAATACAGTTGACAGATGGGCTTATTATGAAAAGATTCCTAAAACTAAAATGGATCTTACAAGAGATCCAAAAATGGTTTAATTATTTTTAATACTTTTAGGACAATCTCTATGTAGTAGATTAAACAGGATATAAAACTGCTAAGAATCCAGATGCCAAAATTCAACATTATATGAATTATCAATATAATATGGATAAGGCTGTCTTTAAGGGAAGATCTTTAAAAGATAGAAATGAATATTACATTTAAAAAAGAACATAAAAACATCAATAATTTTTGAAAAACAAGGATGCTGGTATTGGTGAATTTAAAAAACTCTTAAGAGATCCTGAATTATATGTTGAAATAAAATCCAAATTAAAAAATGCTTAATAAATTTTAAATCATTCTAAATTAAATGGAAAGATGTTAAGAGTATAATTATTAGAAGAATTTGCAGGATCAAAAGAATTTTTGTAATCTTAAAGTGGTTAACACAATAAATAATTATAATAAGAAGAATCAAGAAAGAGCATACCTACAATAAAATAATTAAAGGAACATCCTTAATTCTAAAAATAAACATAGAAAATATAGATATCAGAAGCTATAGAAGATATTAGATTAGATGTTTAATAACATAAAAAAATGATGTAAGATCCAGCATTTATGACTGAATATTTATAACGAACATCTAGTGCAGTTAGTACAAAACCATCAATGAGAAAAAATACAAGTGGTGCAGTTTAATCTTAAACATCTTTAAGACCATCAACTGCTTTAGTGATGCCAACATATACTAAAGTATCTAGACCTATAACAGCTATAAGTAATCAAGAACATTAGAAACCAAGATTATCATAAACAAAAGTTAATTAATTTTTAATTATTTAAGATTCCATAAATATTAGATGAAGAAATTGAAATATTTTAGAATGAACAATAAGAAAATAAGAATTAAAATACTGTATTTTATGGTTCTTCCAATTCTACTAAGCGTTTATATAATATAGATTTACCATGGCATAAAATGTAATTGCAAAATTAATGATTTTATTTTAATTAATAAAATGTAAAAAAGGGTATAAATCGAGAGTAGAAAAGTATAAACAGTGTATCTTCCTCTAGCTGCATCCTCATTAAAAATTCATTCTAAAATAACATCTTAATCATAATCATAAACATTAACATAATCATAACATAACACTATCAAAGTCAATTAAAAGTAAATAAAAGTACACAACCGATCATTAAAAACAAGAAACAATATACAAAAAGAAATGTTATCATAAACTGATAGTTGTACTAATAAAGTATTAACTGAGAGAAATTTAGAAATCGATAGTTCCTTAATTGAACCATAAACAACTACTAGTATTAAACAATTTCAACTTGTTTGGTAATCACCTTATAGACCACATATATATACTATTTATTTTCCATATCCATGTAAAATTAGACAATATTTTAGAATTACTTCAACAAACAAGATCTTAACAATTTTTAGTAGAACAAATTAAAAAGCCATTATATTATAAACTTTAAGGATAAGTACCTTTTAAATGTGTTTTGAGTGCTTTTGAGGCTGCTGGATTTGAAAAGAGTGATGAAGATAATTGGTTAATTTATTGGGGATTAGCTAGTAAGGAAACTTTAGATGAAATGAAATAGTATTAAAAAACTAATCATTTTCCTGGTTGTTGGAGTATAGGTAGAAAAGATAATTTATGGATTCATTTATCTAAAGTTAAAAGAAGATTTCCAAATGAATATTCCTTTATTCCAAACACTTATTTATTGAAAAATGATTTTGACAGATTTGAAAAAATTAGAGAATTTGCTCCAAAGAATACTTTTTGGATCAAAAAACCAGTTGCATCTGCTAAAGGTAATGGTATAAAATTAATTGATAAAAATACTAAATTGACAGCTGATAAAAGATATTTAGTAATGGATTATATTTCAAATCCTCATTTACTTAATAATTTTAAATATGATCTAAGAGTTTATGTTTTAATTACATCTATTGATCCATTAAGAGTTTATATGTATAAAGATGGATTGGTTAGATTTGCTACTTAAGAATATTCACTTAAAAGTGAAGATATTAAGAAGAGATTCATACATTTAACTAATTTCTCAGTTAATAAATAATCTCCAAATTTCATAGTTAATAATTAAGAGATGGAATAATAAGTAAAAGCCTCTAAATGGTCGCATAAGGAATACAAATAATAATTAATGGCTTAAGGCATTAATCATAAATTATTATTTAAATCAATTAAAGATGTAGTATTGAAGACCTGTATTGCAGCTGAAACTCTTCTTCTTAAAAATAGAATAAGTATATTCTTACATATCAATTAGCTATGGAACATAAAAATAATTATTTTGAATTATTTGGATTTGATATATTGATAGATGAATAATTAAAACCTTGGTTGCTTGAAGTTAATGTATGTCCTTCCTTAAATTCATCATCTTAATTGGATACATAAATTAAAACTAAATTGATATCAGATATGTTCCATTTAATAGGGATACAATATCATACTAAAAAAGCATTTAGGATACAAATAAAAAAGAAACAATACGAAAGGAATATAAATGTAATTTAAACCATAAATACAACAAATTTTAGATAAAAAGTAAATTAAGAAGATCTAGATGTTATGATACAATCATTAGAAGAATAATTGAGACTAGGACAATTTAAATGTTTGTATCCAAATAAAAAAAATATCTTTGAATATGAAAAATATTTTGAATATCCAAGATTTCATAATAAACTAATATAAAAATATTTTGAAGATGGATCAAATTGGATTATTTGAATATTAATTTTGTTAGACCTATATTGAAATACCTTTTGAAAATTTTTATAATCTCTCATTAAATTATTAGATTAAAAAATTATTAATATAATAATTATTTTTAGATCTGAGTTTGTTTGACTGAATATTAGATCTTTAATTAGGTTTATTTTTAGACCAAAAAAATTATTTAAAATTGTAAAAATTCTTATAAAAATAAGAATAATTAATTAAGTAAATCAATATTAAAACATATCATTTGATATTCTGATTCTTATTTTTTAGATATTCTTCAAACTATGAATATATAAATATATAGATTACATTTATTGCTCCAAATTAAGTAACAGGTTTAATAGTAGGAATTTAAAAATTGAGGATATTCAAATTAATTGGATTCAATACATTATCTGTTAAAATTCTTTAATTATTATTTTTATCATCATCATTATTTTCTTCAATAGAAGGTTCATATATTTAAAAAAGATCAAAATATGATTAAATTTTGCGTTCAAAAAATCTAAAATAAATTTTTGTAGCCTTTTCCTTAAGAGTCCATTTAGAAAATAATTTAATCATCATGAATCCTTACTTCTCAAATTTAAAATTCAATTTTTTGATTTGAGAACTAATTTTATCAAAACAAGTTTAAAATTATTCTTATTCAAAAGTTCTGAATTTTGATAATTTTTAAACACTTTTTTATGAAATTTATTTGATTTCTTCATCTGTTTCACATTAATTTGATGATGATAAAGGACCAAAATTTGCTAAATGTGTATTATAATTATTGGATTCATATGATTTTCTTTCAGTTTCTTAAAATGTCTTAAAATTCTCATAATTAAGTCTAGTTGTAATTTTAATAGGAGATGTCTCATTTATAATTTGATGAATATCTATTTAATGTGATAATCTTTATTTAGTTTCTTAGAATTGAAGTAGTTCCTAAGATTAATCTGTTTTTAATCTAACTTTAGTTTATAATTGACTACTCTAATATTCATAAGTTTATTTTGGTGATTGTTTATTATCAAATATTTTAATGATTTCAGAGTATTACTTTGCTAATTTGTAATTAGATTTCCTCATTTTAAACTAATAAATCAAATCATCAATATTAAGGTTGCTCCTTTATGAAGAGGATGATTATCCAATTGTCGAGATTTATGAATAAAGATCTTGTTTGAGGTTTTATCTCCTCATAAATTAAATTCAAATTGTAATTATCGTTATAATATAAAAAATCAAAATGATCTATTATTATCATTAGTTCTTCGTTATTATGCTTATGCTTTCCCTCCTTTACCTTTAGGCTATTGTACTGGCTCTTCTTCTTCTTCTTCATAATAGCCGTCAGCTTTAATTATGTGAAATAAGAGTACCCATATCTTCACCCATTTCTTACATATTTCTTAACTAATGATCTCTATAAGCAACTAATCGCAACACCAATTTATAGACCTTTTTAAGTGATCAAATGTACTTGTTGTGGTTTGACAACATCAGGATCTAGGAATTCTTGATGCTCATTAAACAATGCCTCTACAATATCTTCAGGTTCAACTAAAAAGATCAAATTATTCAAATGAATAGCATAACACTTCTTCTTTTTCTTATTCACTTTCTTATTCTCTACAGGATGATATAACAATCCAATAATGGGTGGATCAAATTTTAATACAAAACCCAAAGGTTAATAAGGTAATTTGTTCATTTTAAAATTATATAATAATCACTTATTTAATTCATAATTCACAATTTCTACTTAAAATTTGTAAGAATAACTCTTGTTTATTTTTTTTATTTGATACAAAAACATATTAGCTTAGTATAAAATATCGTAAGTTTAGAATTTGAATGAAATACCTTTAATTTTGAATTGAATATTATATATTTAAATTTAAATTATTTGATACTGATGATATATTAGATAGTGATTGATTTCAAATAAATATTAGGTTATATAAATATATTTATATTACCTTAATTTATGAATATCTCATTATTTTGATTATATATTTTAATATAATAATTATATATATATATCTTGTTCAAATATATAATAAAGATCATTTTTTCTGTAAAATTGGATATGAAGCAGCTGCACAAACACCACATGTATTTCCAGGTGCCAATCTAATATATCCATTTTCACCCCATTTAGATCCCCATTAATGTCTTACTTTCCAAACTCCATTCTAATCAATACCTACCAAGATAGATCCAGATGTCAAATTCTGTTTACAATTATTGAATATTCCACCCTCTATAATAAATGATTTATAATATTATTACTATAAAATGACCAATTACTAGCATCAACTCCAATAGAAATAGCTTAATCTAAAATAGCAGTTTAGAGTTCCTCACAACCATCAACATCAATAAAACCTGTAACATATTTGAAATCTCTTTAAATTGAAGTTTTGCATGTTTAATCTTTTCCTACATATGGATAATCTGACGCACTTGCAATGCCGTGATCTCTGACGTATTCAAATCCAGAATCCATCCATCCTCCAGTACAACCTTAATTACCATATGGACCTGAACAATCCAACATATCCTACTCAGAGAGTGAGGATTATAATCCAAAATTGATATTGCCGTTGATTTCTAATACACCTACTGCAGCAAATGCCCATGAAGAACCACATTATGTTCCTTAATCTTTAATTGGTGGCACCTTGCCTTCTTCAACCCAATCTCTAGCTTATCCATTTGGAACATAATCAAATGATTTTGATTTAATACTATTCTTAGGTTTCAAACTCAAATATCTTTATACAAATTCTTATTCTGTCAAGTCTGCAAATTAGTTAGTCTCCAAAGTATATGTATACTTACCAGATTTATCATTGTTATGTGCCTCAATTAATTAAGCATTTTATTAGAACACTAAATAACGATACCTAAACTTTTAAATTATCAATTATACATCTCCTCTTGTTCACTACTAAATTTTTTGTTGTATTAGATTTTCCAATCATTAAATTGTTTAACTTTCTGTAATTCATATAGATCTTCTCCATTCTATTTTAGATATAAACCTGCTCCTATTAACAATAAGAGTCCAACAGATATCAATGATTTTTCCATATGATACAAAAACTATATGAATAAATAAATTAAATTAAAACTTAAAAAGATCATCCTCTAATAGTTCCAAATTGATATTTCATTACTATATATAAATAACTTATTAATAAGTATTCTTAATTAAAGACTAGAAGCAATGAATTAATTATAATGTACTTATATGATTTTTGATATTGTTTAATAATATAGATCATTCAGTATTTACCACTTATGGTTCTTTCTCCTTTTATTTGCTTTTAGAATTGCTACTTTTTTTCGATGATTTTTAACTTCCATCTTTGATAATATTCTCCAAAGCAAATCTCTTTTTGTTTTTTAAAGATATTGAAATAATATTTGGAATCTTAGTAGGAAGTTCTAAATAATCAAGTGGAACAAATTTATCAACATGAACCTTGTTTTTCTTTTCAAATTCATCTATAAATTTTTATGTCTCTGCACATTGTTTATAAACCTTTGCCAATTATTTATAATGGATTGCTTATTTCTTATTTGATGTTTACATTTACTCTAATTTTATTAATTTTCACATTTCTTAAAAAAGCCTGCTTTTATAGCTAAATTTGGTATGAAAAGTTTTGAAATTAAAATTTTATATTCCAAAATTAATTATTTCCAGGATATTTAAATATAAACATCCATTATATTAATAGTTTATTTTAATAAATAGTTAAATTACTAGAACTCAATTCATTTTACCTAAATCCCTAGACTAATATCCTGATTCAATTTATAAGTATTAAAAT